AGTAATCCCAGTTTCATTAATCTGTATATTGTCAATGTCAAGCACAGTGCCTGGCCATCAGCAAAATGTTAATGCAGAGATTCCCAAATGTTCTTGCTTCAAGGACACTTAGTGCCCTTCATGTCTTAGTAATTTGCTATGATGCCCCTATGCTGAAAGAAATATCTAACAATTCCACTTAAGTAGTGGGTCTGAACAACTTTAAAAGTTTATGGTCCAACCACTGACCAGCGACCTGAAAAAAACCTCCACATAAATTGAAGGAAAAAAATAATTACTTCATTTTTAAATAACCGTAATTTCTTCCTAATGGGATGTATGAGCCTGTTGGGATTACATAACTTCTCAACCCTTGTAATCACAATGAACACCACATCCTCATTTCCTGCTCCACACTGATTTTTGTTTGGTACTTGTTTTAATTATAGCAACTAACAAAAAGCCAACTTTGCAAAGCTATGAGAACATCGAAAGAAACAGACAATGGAGAGCCATCTAATGTTGAAACTGTGAACTATCTAGCGCTAACAGTTTGAATGGTATTTGACAGATATTGAGTACTGCTATGTTTTCCCTGAAAATTGAAAATATCCCATGGCAATTTTGTGAATTTGCTATTAATACCTCAACATGCCTCAGTGCAAAGTCTGAGAACTGAGGGGTTAGCCAATTTTAGTAAATGAGCATTGCATTTTTTTTTTGAATTTTCCTTGATAGGTGACTTTAAAAAGTTATATATAAGAGATCTGGTAGTTAGCTGAAAATAGTCCAGTTCTCCAAAGAAATGTACAAATGGCCAATTAACACATAAAAAGATGTTCAACGTTACTAATTATTAGGGAAATGCAAATAAAAATCAAAATGAGATACTACTTCACATCCCTTAGGATAGCTATTATCAAAAAACAGAAGATAACAAGTTTTGACAAGGACACAGAGAATGTGAAATTCTTGTGCACTGCCAGTAGAATGTAAAAGGGGGCAGCTGCTACAGAAAATAGTATGGTGGTTCCTCAAAAAAATTAAACATAGAATTATATGATCTAGCAATTTCACTTCTAAGTAGATACTCAAAAGAACTGAGAGCAGGAACTTGAACAGATATTTATGTACCTGCATTCATAGCAGCATTATTCACAACACTCAGAAAGGGAAACAACCCAAATATCCACTGATGGATGAATGGATAAACAAAATGTTGTATATACTTACAATGGAACATTATTCAGCCTAAAAAAGGAATAAAATTCTGACACATGCTACAACATATATGCTAAGTAAAATAAGCCACATACAAAAGGACAAATATGAGTCCACTTATATGAAATACCTAGAGTAGTCAAACTCACAGAAACAGAAAACAGGATGGTTACCAGGGGGCTGGCGAGGAGAGAAGAATGGGACGTTATTTTTTAATGGGTATAGAACTTCAGTTTGGGGTGATGAAAAAATTCTGGGGATGGATGATGATGGCTGCACAACAATGTCAATGTACATAATGTCATTGAACTGTACATTTAAAAATGTTTAAGACGGTAATTTTTATGTTTTACTTATATTTTACCACAATTAAAAACTCTGCTAAAGAATCGAGTTGATACCAGTAATCAGGCAAACAGTTTCATGTTGTATACATATCAAAACAAAACCAAAAAACAAGTCCAATTTTAAAAATATTACAATAGCTTAACCACATTAAAAAACTTATAAACCAAGGGATATCAGTTTTCATTTTCTTTCCTTATAAATACATAATTTAAATGAACATATAGCAGAATACCCTAACAGTTTCTAATTCTGCTTTTCCTAAATGTGGCATCAATATAAGCACATATTTCTTCTACCAATAGACCAATAAATACCACCAAATCCACTTTGAAACCAATCTGAACAATAAATCCTTAAGGAAACTCAATCTCATTAAAAAAGACTGCCTGCGAATGCAAAGAACAGTGAGATTAGTGTTGCATTTGGAAAAGAATACTTACTGCCTTCCCACGTACACTGTAACAGATTAAGAGCACCTTCTATTCGCTTCCAGTGCTGAAGATGAAAGAACGCATAGGCAATTGCTTCACTATCACCCCGTTTCAGAATGTGTTCTGGAGGTAAAATGAGACTTTTCATTTCTAGCAAATACTAGAAAAATAACACACACACATAGACACAACACAGTAAAAAAGAAAAATTAAATTATGTTAGATTCAAATATCCACAAAAATGTAGATTCAAATTTTATAAAGTTTGATTTAAAAAATCAAATTTTATAAAGTTGACTTAAAAAACAAACATTAAGCTAGTTGAAATGACATGGGGAGCCTACTGAAAACATATATAAAATACTCATATATATAAATATGCAAATTCCAAAGATCAGAATATTCCTATAAGTAAAAATAAGGTGATAAGTGCTTTATGTGCAACTTGGCTAAACACAAAATAGAAACTCAAGCTGAAGAAATAATGTGAGAGTAAATTATGTATTTTTCCAAAAAAGAATAAGTGTAAAAAATTATAAAGCACAATTTTGGAACAACATGTTATGGTAACATTAATTTTTTTTCTTTATTCCCATTTTACAGTGAAGGAACTTAACTGTTAAGAAGTTCAAGTAAATTAATATTTACTGAGCACAAAGCACTATGCTTGTTAGGGAATACCAAAACACTACTCTCTGGAGCTTCCTAATGTAATGAGAAAGAAAGATTCCTCAAGTTAATAATTATAACCAGACTATGGTAAGAGCTTCATGAGAGGTATAAATACATAAAGGAATATGCATAGGTGGTATTCATTTTTTAATTTAGTTTTTAAATAACCACTTTATTGAGATATAACTCACATACTTTACAATTCACCCAATTAAAGTATACAATTCATGCGAGAGGGTATACTCAGTGGTAGAATGGGGGCTTGGCATGTACAAGGTCTCATGTTCAGTCCCTGGCACCTCCACCAAAAGAAATAAATATAAATAAATAGATAAACCTAATTACCCCCTCACACACAAAAACGAAACAAAACAAAACAAAATTAAAGTACTCAATCCAATGGTTTTTAGGATATTCACAGGTGCAACCATCACAATTTTTGAACATTTTCATCACTTCAAAAGGAAACTCTGTACTCCTCAGTTACCACCCTCTACCCCCATCCCCCTAAACTCTAAGCAACCACTAATATACTTTCTGTCTCTATAGATTTGCCTATTCCAGATATTTCATGCAAGCAGAATTACATAATCTATGGTCTTTTGTGACTGGTTTCTTTCACTAAGCATACATCCATGTTGTAGAATCTATCAGTACACCCCAATTCTTTTTGTGGCTGAATGATACTCCATTGTATGGATAGACCACATTTGTTTATCCATTCATCACTTGATGTACATTTGGTTATTTTCACCTTTTGGCTATTATGAATAATGCTGTAAGAAACATTCATGTATGAATTTTTATGTGAATATAGGTTTTCATCTCTCTTGGGTATATACCTAGGAGCAGAACTGCTAGGTCATATGGTAACTCCATGTTTAAGAGGTATTAATAATGATTTAAACCACTTGATAGAATTTGGGATTTGAGCTGATAAATAAAGATAGGTGGAATATGGATGAGCAGATTGGGGAGTGTGGTGGGGACAAGAACAGGAGGACATATTCAATGTACAGGGACAACTTAAACAAAGACACTGAGCCAGGAAAGCACAGTGCAAGATGCATTTAAGTGATTAGTGAGCATGCCTGTTAAAGAAGTTTCAGCCTATCAATTCTTATTCACATATGAAATTAAATTTTACCTTAAACTCTTGAAGAAAATACTTGCCTTAATATTACAGTCCATAACAAAAGCAGCATAATCAGTTATTGCACCAATCAAATGTACTAATTACATGAAGAAAGATGCAAAATTCACCACTTACACATCAACTTTATTATGAAAGTGGTCAACCTCAAACAAAATCTTTTAAAAATAGTTAGCTAACTACTTTTTCCAAAGACTTAAGCCAGAGTACACCTCCCCTACTAGACTAGGTTTGAAACGACCTCTTGGGTTCTCAATAATTTGATACCAAATTATGCATCATAAGGTCCAAACCACATTAACTTCTATTATAAAATATAAAAAGAGAACTATTTCAAAGGTGTCTTAAAAGATACATTCTTATATCTTAAATTCTAAGTTCTTCAGGTTGTTACACAAACTAATGAGATAAAACCACATGAACAGCTGAATTTGTGAAACACTTTGCAAAACTGCTACAAACAGGAACTATTCTAAAAACAAAAAATTGCAGTGGCTTCAAATGTTAAGCCTTAGGTTATTAATCAATACATATGTACTCTTGGTATTAATACACCTAAAGTAATTTTTCTTTTTCGTTTATGGAATATGCCTTTTTAACACTTACTGAGCTTAATACCCATCTTTAATTACTCTTTCTCCTATAGTCCAATAAAGTTGAAATTAAAAAGCAAAGAGATAAAAGAATTATTACTCTTAATCTTGATGTCTGGTCCTCTCCTCAAAGTGTAAGAATGCAGTCTGCTCATCAATTTATTTTAGCAGATGTCACAAGCTATGAGATTATTTACTAATCCAGTTTGGGGACTTAACATTTCCCATTCAGTTTCTTAAAGGAATGCAGCAGAGGTTGCGTCCTGGTCAAGCAAAGCCCATTTGCTGCCTGGCTGGGTTCTCTCCCCTTAGTGCCTTGGGCCTATATTCAGGAGGGTAATATTCTTTCTAATCCTCTTTAATCCTTGCCCATTTTTTTAAAACACAGTAAAAGATCACTCACACCAGGCGGCTGTGGGAAAATGGACTCAAATAGCTGACCTCTGACATGACTCCTTATGCTCTTTGCAAGTGCACTAAGGGCTTCTTCAGTAGGAAGTAAAGAAAATGAAGCAATCACAGTGGAATCTCCATCATAAAAAGAATATTTTATTTTCAGAGAGGTTTAATACTTAAACCAAGTCCTTTCTATTTAAAGTTCTGCTTTATTTTAAAGATTAAAATATCTTAAATTATTTTCAGTGAGTTTGAGAATTCTGAAGCATTAAACTAAATCCTACCTTGGTAGCCACTTAGCAAATGGTAAGCAAAGATATTAAGTTGACAATTATTCAGTAAAACTTATATGATAAAAAAGTATCAACTTAATATTTCTAAAAAATATGCTTTTGAATAGCAACTGTATATATTTTTCTGCTGTGTAATAATCTAAGTGACAATTCAGATAATTAACAGTAATCAAACAGGTATGACACATTTATTAGCAAATGATACTTCAGGATTTTATATTAAAAAAACTTTGCTATTTAATAATTTAAAAATTTTCCTTAGGCTACTTTATTTTTTATCATGTTTTACCTACCAGCAAATGTCCTTTCCAATTTGACTTTAAAGCAATTCTTATTTTTCAGTTTCTAATAGAACACGGAAATAAAATTTCACCCTCAAAATAAAAAGGGTATTTTTCAGTTTAAGGAAAATGTACTTAAAGTAGGTAATTATGGGATCATTACTTATTTTATTTCCTCAACAAAGTGCTACTGAGGAATTTCTGCTACCCAAAATAAGCTGTAGGTTACTGCACAATAGAAACTGTATCCTTCATTCTACTTCAGCATCTAGCATATTACACTACCCAAAGTAGGCACTAAAATAATTATAAAATAATTACAGCTAAAATGTCCTCAAACTCATATCTATATTTCAAATTTTTACTTAAATATATTTTCTAATTCTCTGCACAACCTAAAAACAAAACAAAAACAAAAAAATTCCGCTAGCAAGACTTTACTTTTTTATGAAGACTATGAAAAGTTAAAAACTGAGGAGTGGTTTGTTTTATTTTTGGTCCTTTTTTCGCTTATGAAAGTACATGCTCACAGTACGAATATGCAAACATTGCAGAGTTACATGGAAAATAATTTATTACAAGATTGGAGAATAAATGAATAAAGACAATAATTTGTTTTATGTTTGTCTGGATTTTTTTTAAGCACAATATACTGACTGTACTTTTCTTAAAAAGAGAATCAAACCGTTAAGCAACTCACTTTTTACTTCACAATATATCTTGTGTATCTCTTTCTGTCTCTATAGAGATCTAACTCATCATTTAAAAATACTGTATAGTAGTCCATTAAAAGCTGAGTTATTTTTTAAGAAATAAGGTCATGCTGAAATTGTACTACTGTCCTCAAAAGGCCCAAAGTGATATAATTTACCAAACTCATAAAATGTTAAGTGAATTAAAAATTACAAAATGAGGTGGGATCTAAAATTTTATTTTCTTTAACTTAGGTCTTTATAGTAATGCAGATCTAAACTACAGACATGTCTGTTTACCAAACACTTATTAAATGCCTGTATTTGCTAAGCAGAGTATCAGACATAAAATGATGAGTAAGACAAGAGTCCTGCTTTTTAAAAATCTCACAAGGAACTAAGGGAGACACATACAAACAGACAAAAAAAAAAAAAGAGAGAGAGAGAGAGATAATGAAGAAACAGAGGAGAGAGCCATTACCTCCTGGTTGGGAAAAATGGGAAAGACACTTCTATGAAGGAGGCAACAGATGAGCAAGATCTTGAAAAAAGAGCAGAAACTTGCCAAGTGGAGAAGAGACTGAGTATATGTACATAGGTAAGGAGTCATAATGAGACCTGGCCAATCTAGGGAATAGTAGCACTGGGGATAAGGTGCAAGGCAGAAGTGGCAAGGAGTGAGGGTGGAGGCAGATACTGGACCCAGACTGTGAAGGTTTCTATAATGCAATACTAAGGTTGGTCCTTATCCCATAGGCAACAGGATACAAGCAGAGCTCTTTAAGGCAATGGCCAGAGTAGAGAGGGGTTGATGGCAGGGAGACCACTGAGGAATCTATTTTAATAGTCCAAGCAAAAGATGATAAAGCATTTGTCCTTACTGTATTTTTATACATATATCTGTATATTTAAAGATGCACAGAAAGTGTTTGGAAATATATACATCAAACATAAACAGTGGTTACTTGAAAGAAGTAGAATTGGGACAGAAAAAACAGGAGAATTTTACTTTATAAACTTCTAAAGGCTCTGAATTTTCTAAAAAGCACTCATTTTATAATAATAATAATCTTTCAAAAA